ACACACACACACACACACACACACACACACACACACACACACACACAGTGTATCACAGCTGATCTGATCTACAGTAGCAGCTGGGTCCAGTCAAGCTGATGTAATTTCTGTTTATTCAGCCTTTTCCTTTAGCTGAGCGGTGAGTCCTGCGCAGCACATGCACAGTTCTGTCTGTGATAACACACACGGACATATTTATGTCCCGCTGTCCTCACAAAGAGCAGCTCATCAGATGACGCCTCACTCGCAGACCACACGATGATAAACACGACAGAAGACGGTCGTCTCGTTGAGACGTGTAATATGACTTTTATAACTAAACCCAAACCTCCACAGGACTATAGGACCGTCAGAAGTTAGTGTAACCGAGCCACGGGTCATTCGTCATCGTCAAAACTTTGCAAATGACAACATTTTCTTTTTCATTTTCGTTCCATCTTAGATAGCTTCCTTTTATGAAAACAAGATATTTTCTGACATTGGAAGCATTTTAGACGATATGCTGGTGATCAGTGTGGCTTCAGAAAAAGGTGGGGATCGAATTTGAGACTCACCTTTTGATGCTACTCTTTATAGAACATTATAGTTAAAAATACAGTCAAAAATAAATGTCTTTTTTAGAAGAATGTTATTCTTGTTTGATGTATATATGTGTAGTCTGGGGAATCACCAATCTCCATTTTGGAGCCTAGAGTTGGTTTATGTTTGACACCACCATCTGTTACTGAAGCTAAACACATTCAAATATTGGTTGAAGTGCCTCCAAATGTCTTAAAAGGACACTTTGGATGTTCTGAAGTCTGTTTGTGTGAGGTTCTTCTCCACAGTCAGTGTTCTACTACAGTAGATGAGTTTGGAGTAGAATGTTTTCGATCGGTTTGTTTGTATTATTAGTTCAGATTCACCAAAGTCAGACACTAACACAGTAACAGATGGAGGCAGCAGGAGAGCAGCAGCTCCTGTGTCCTGAGAGGTAGAATCAGTGTTTGAGTGAATGGAGTCTGGTGTGTTTGTAGAGGTCATAGATAACAGCTTCAGTTCCCCTCAGAAAGGTAAAGAGGTGTAAACACATGGTGCCTGCTGCTTGTTGATGGCCGGATGCTGCCTGCTAACAACATGCTGTGCGTCTGTGTTGGACTCACCTGCAGCGACAGCGAGTTGTGCTGTGCTGTTAACGGAGCCGTACGGGTTGGACGCCGTGCAGCAGAACAGACCCCCGTCCTCTGGGAAGGCCTCGGCAATCACCAGGGTGCAGATCTCATCTAAAAAAATTAAGACAACCGCCATTAATACACCTTTTAATGAACACACCAGTCATGATCGTGAACGTTGGATCCATATGGGAGTTTAAAGAGTTGACATTGATGAACAGGGATCTGCACAGATGTGGAGTGACATGTCGACACTTGATTCGTGTGTAGGGAGATGTAATCGAGAGAGAGAGTCGTCCTAGACTGGTGAGTCAGGTTTTTATAGCCAGACACACGGAGGGCAAAGACAAACCAACATGGATGTAACTGCTCATGAAGAACAGACAGACACACGGAAGCACAGATGTTCAGGGACGTCTGAGTGACTCACAGTCTGAGAGTAACACCTGAAGTGACCCTGATTCACACAGGTGAATGAGCGAGTGTGTCTCGTGAGACGCAGACTTGTTATCTTGTGATTAGCTGTAGTCATAACCAAGTGAAAGGCTGCAGCTGATGAATGAAACCATCAAACTCGATGTGAGTCTTCAGACACATCCAACAACCCCATTACTAATGTGAACCGCTGACTGCGGTTGGGACATGAAAGCGGCGTTGGTATTGACAGTTTGAGCAGACATCGGGAGGAATTGATGTGGCGTACCTGACTCAGCAGCAGATCGAGGCTCTGAGGGAAGAGAAGACAAACAGATATTTTAATTATTAGCGCTACAGGGCTTCCCCCAAAAAAGTCGAGTCATCCGTCAGTCGACTCAAAATGGATTTTTAGATTGCCAGATAATCTATATTAAATAAAAAGGAACAAATTGTTGAATCTTCGTGTTGAATGAAATAATTCTTATTCAGGTACAGCCCTATTAATAGCATACATTAAAATATATGATTAAAATCACTCAGCTGCTGCACAATGGGCTTCACGACCACTAAGAAGGAATGTCTCACTTTTCCGGAGAATCCGGAAATCGGGCGAGTCCAGGATCTCCTCTCCCTGGCGGTACCATCGGACCTGCAGAGGAGGGCTTCCTCGGACCCGGCACTCCAGAACCACCACCTGGCCCTCGGAGGCCTGGGCATCCTGCAGCAGCTTCACAAACACACACACACACACACACACACAGAGAGAGAGAGAGAGAGAGAGAGAGAGAGAGAGAGAGAGAGAGAGAGGTTATGAGAAGAAGGAGCGAGCGAGTGAAGGATGATGAAGTGTGGAATGAGAGACTGAAACCGGTAATGAAAAGAATAAATGTGCCTCAGAAATACAGCGTGGGATGGATGGAGGTTGTTGAAGATGACGCACTGTCAAGAAACACTATTTGAGGAAGAGACGGCTGATAAAAAGTCACTCTGTTTCACTACTGCACACTATATACGTTGTATTTTATATAGCATATTCTGTATGTTCTCTTCAGATTAGATGTCAAGCAAACATCTGACTTCTGCAGAAGTCCAAGTCAGTCCTCGCCCATAAATATGTTTTATTGCTTTTGACAGTTTTTATGCCAACAAGGGAAGAAAAAAATGAATAATCAAAATAGAATAAAAGAATGTCATGTGACGAGGAACAACCAATCACAGCTTGCAGATATCTTTTTCTTCCTTCTGTGAATATCGGTCTCCAGTAAGTTAAAGGAGGAGAAGTTAATCGTTTTAGTTCAGGACCATCTATCTGGCTTCACCCTCGCCGTCGATGAACGTCACAACATCCGGTCAGTGAGTCACCGACAAATCAAGCAGTAAAGCTGGAAATCCATTTATCTTTGTTTACTTCAGTCAGTGAGGCTAACTGCTAAGTTACCGCTTCATCGTCTAAGTTTACCAGCCGGGCTACAGACTCTTATGGAGTCCTGCTGTTTCACTTCAGCCTCTTTATACAAATCACAAGATGCCCGTTTAACTCCTGTCTCCATTCAATCATACGGCAGCTTATAGTGTTGCAGAACCAAGAAAAACATCAACATAGGGGTTAGATGGAGAAGCCACTGTCAACACGGTGTTATCTCCACATAGACTGCGTGTATCCATCAACAAGAGGCACTCAGTGTCAGCTTAAATACATGCTCCTGTGAGATGCGAGCCTCTTTCTCTTTGTCACTGTGTGTCTTATTTGGTATATTTTGGGAGGACCAGAGCTGGAATGTTCATCGCGGCTCTGACATTCTGTGTGTGTGTGTGTGTGTGTTGTTTGGGTGACATCACAGCGCTGACTTCACTAGAGCCGAACATCCTCTCACTGAGATGATTACAGCTTTTCTTTTGTAAAGGAGGCTTGAAGAAAAACAAATGTCTTTGTGTAATGAAGTGTAAAATGATTTAGGGCCTGACTGGCTGAAAGAGACCTGACCCGTGTGGGTTTCAAAGCTCTGCCTCAGCCTGTCCCAGTCCCACCATCACTAAACCCACAGCCTGAGGGCGGGGGGGGTGTTCTTGAGCTTTGTGTTTAATCTGACCCCCACTGCTGAAAGCCACAGCACTGCACACTGTTATTAAGGGAAGGCATGGAGACGGAGTGCATGTGTATGTGTGTACTATGCCTGTATGTATTCCATACACAATGAACTGTATGTAAGCATCCAGAGTTAGATTAATGTACAAAATATTATGGAGAAAACGTCCCAGATGAGCCTTTTGCAGCAGCATATTAATGACCGTTGTTTTCGAAACAACAATCATCACACATATGTGCATGCTGTGTGGGTGTCCACATACTTGTGACCATGTAGTGAATGTATAGATTGCTGTGTAGGCAGACTTACCTTGGTGAATATCGGAGGACCAGATGCCTCGTATAGTGACGACACTGGGCTCTGCATCTAGAAGATAAACAAGATGAAATAATGTACTGTCATTGAAGAGAATTTTCCACTTCTTTGACCATGTTGTGTGGATCAGCTGTTGTGTGTGCTGTAGCTGCTCACCCGCTGTATCGGCTGAGACAGGGACTGCACTAAGGTGGAGCGATGAGGAAGGACCTCTGAGGTTTTGGGTGAGGACGAGCGTATCGTCAGGGACATTGAAGTCGTCTTCTTCTGAACTCTGAAAACAAACGAAGCAAAAATCAGCAACCACACAAAAACGTTCCCAAGAAAAAAAGGAGGCATTTCTCAACTCGATATGCTTTTAGTTAGAATATAATACTTGAATCAAAGAAAATTGTCTCCCCAGCAATTAAGATGCTATCAGTGCTCTTGGCTTCAGTGTGTAAACAGAAAGGGAACCAGGAAGTAGTCCAGATGGAGGAAGATTTATACAACAGATAATAATGAAAACCATTTAGAGAAGTACAAAGTACTGTAAATATGCATCTTGACCTGAATCGACATGAATAAACATGTGTGCCACATTTTAACCAGGCAAGTAAGTTCTGTAGTGAAAAATCTAAAATCTCATTTCGTAATATTAAAGTGCTCAAGATGTAATTCTGTGCATATCCATTGTCTCCCCACGGCTCTCAACATGGAGACGGCTGAGCAGCTAACATTGCAAACTACGGAAGCAGCACTGACAGAGCTAACAGTGTTAACCGCAGTGCAGAGCGTTGGCTGTTAGCTAGCTAATGGAACAAAACAGAGAGGCTAACATACAGTAAGATGCATGTAAACAAAGCACACCGAAGGTTGACATTACTCCTCTATATCTTTACAAAAGAAGTCGTCGTTGTTTGCTGCTATATCAATGCTTTGAGTCGTGTAGACAGAACTTTTAAGGAAGCTTTTATAAAAGTTCCTGCATCCTCATCTTGATCTGTAAAAACAACACTGTGCTTTGGTCTGCGGCGCAACCTTTCACTAAAAGCCCCTGTTACTTATATGAGAAGAAAATGCTTCAAGAGGAAAGGAAGAAAAGAGAGCGAAAGCAGGAGAAGAGTTAAAAGTTTAACATTTGGAGATAAGTACAGGGGACAATCCTGACAGGGTGATTTTTCACCATATTAACCTTCTGCAGCTCTCATTATTTAGGTTGTGGCCTGTGTACTGGCTCAGGGTTATGGCTCTTTAAAGTCCTTGTAAGGGGCCTAGTTAAAGGCAGCAGACCTGATAAACTGCTGCAGGGCTCAGTTAACCCGCTCAGGAGTTCAAGGTTCGTTGGGTCAACGGGTCCCGAGAGGTCACGCTGGAACACACTTCCTTTCCTTTAGGAAACTAGCAGCAGGTCCTGAGTCTGTTTACTCCATTGGGAGATTATGACTAATTATTTTGCCCCATAGTCACCAAAGTAAATATTGGACCTGTTTTTTTCAAAAGCCACATATCTTCCAAACATTCTGACACTAACGTGGCATTTTTCAGACCGACTTATCCGGAGAAGATTAACTTTTCTCTGTCTCAGCAACACACTATCGCCAGATCTGGAAGTATATATATATATATATATATATATATATATATATATATATATATATATATATATATATATAGTAGAGTAATAGAGTATCTTATCACGTACTGAGGCATGGTTCCTGATCTGGATTTTGACCCAGTTCCTTCTCCCTCTGAGTCTGATGACGAAGCTCCTGCAGTGTGACAAAAACAAAAGCGGTGATTCATATGTGATGCAGGCCACCTCAACAGCAGTATAAAAAAGACTGTTTTTAAAAGTGCTAAATGTATGCAAAAATCATAAATCTCATAAATAAATCTGGTACATCCAATCTTATCCCCTGACGTTGAGAGCACCCACATATGAAATGTAGATATCAGCAGAGACCGTCTCCTTATTAGAACAGTATATCGATCCCTTGAAAGTAAACATTCTGATAGTTTCCCGACATGCAAACATCTGACCTTCGATGTAAACCTCGGCGGAGGTATTGTCTGCTCCGATGCTGTTGGAAGCCACGCAGGTGTAGCGTCCCGTGTCGTCCTCGAACGCTTCGGAGATCACCAGTGTGTGCAGGTCACCATCCCTCCAGATCTGAATGTCGGGAGAGTTGTGCAGCTCGCGGCCTTCACAGAACCACCTGGTAGGATGAGGTGAATCACAACTGTGGTTACTTTAACCAATCGGAGCAACAGGCAGACTACAGTTTACTGCAAGAAGACCAAAATGTTGATTAAATACTTCAGTACAACTAGCATTATCCAGGGTAGAAAATATGACTTTTAAACTCATACAAACATTTTAAACTACTACTTTAACGGTGTTCTACTATGCGTTCAATTCATTGTGACTTTTAGCAACACACAGTCTAGACAGTGCTTCAAAGAAAATGATGACGTAGCCTGTTTCCAATCTGTTCCTACCAGATATAACTATGTTTTTAGTATAGTAAAGAGGTCTTAAATATGAGTCTTAGTAATTCACCATTGCTTTGTGACTGAAAATCTACGTATTCCACTTCGTGCCAAAAGAAATTAATATATAACTATATAGGTGAAAACTTGCATTTCAGACCATGAGGTAATAGGAATCATCCTGAAATCAATAAAAATCTCAGCAAGCAAGGGCCATTACTCTTCTTGACAAAGACTTGAACATAAATATACCTTTGCCTAACCCGATGGAGGCCTGCCAATCTAACTAACATCAATAACTAGTCATTCACACACACACACACACCCTCTGGGCATGTCTGAGATTCCATATCTGCCAAACGTCAGCCACCCTGAGACGCCGTGTTACGGGAAGCAGATACACCCTTTCCCCTCCTTCCAATCAGAGGCCTGTGTGTCTGGGCAGGCGCCTGGTCCTCGTACCCCCCGCCGGGGGGGGGGGGGGGGGGGGGTCTTTGTTCCCTGATCTGGGACCCAGAAAAGGACGAGAGACAACCAGCTTCATCCGTCTCATCTCTCTTCACAGGGTTGTGATTAAAGCAGACCCCTCAGCACCATGTTACCACATCAAACGCAGGATCAGACAAAAGGGGGTCACATGACCCATCTCATACATACACACACAGACACACACATACATATTAAGTGCTGGCCTCAACTATCGAGATCTGTGGGAGTCTGTTGCTTTCATCAGTGCTAATGTCCTAAATCTTCTTTTTAAAGTGCATTATGACACATCAGATCACGATAAACGCACTCCGCTGACACACTGACCTTAACGTTCCCATACAACCAACTGTGTTGTCAATTACGTTCCAAAAAAATGTATTTTCTCTCAGATTAGGTTTGTATTTGACGTTTGTATTTGGTTGGTGGATGGGTCATACACAGGACTTTCACCCAGGAGACCGATGTTGTTGTCCGATTTGAAACCAAAAGTAACGTATTTTAACCCAAGATGTGATATTTTACTTAATCTATTCTAAACTTGTTGCCTAAACATGCCACTCCATCAAGCTGCCAGAGCTACCATGGAGTCCACACATGTCCACGTGTCACTAACTCATTCACTCACTGAATAAATATACATTTCTTTGTAAAGAGAGAAGCAGAAGAAGGGTTTAAAATATGTGTTTGACGGATATATACAAGATGTCCGACTGATTCAGCCGTGAAAACAGTGAGCTGGACGATGCTAAGCTACGATTAGCCCGTCTGTGTTTGATGGGCAACTCTTAACGAAGGGTCAGTTGAGAATGCAGTTTTGAAAACTCCACGAATGGTTCAACCACTGTAATGTTGATGTACACGTATGTAGAAATGTCTGTATGAAAACGCATTTTTGGTTCAGAAACGTAGAGATTCATCGCATTGGTGATTTGCAGAAACGTCCAATTTTATTCTGGCAACAAGGTTGACGCACTACGCGCTGTACAGCCTCTCGGCACCCTATTAAAGGAGAAGTCTTGTATATACGTCTTGTTCACCTCCCGACCTTTTCATTGACAGCGGGAGGGGCAGGAATTCCCAAAATGCTGGAAGAACAGCTGCTCCATCTGTCCAGGAGCCCGACCTGAGGACTTTCTAGCTATCTCTCGTTCGTATCGCTCCCAACATCCTGCTGCTTAGCCATTACTGGATTTTATACACTCTGGTGTGTCAGTCAAACAGCAATCCATCAGCAGCACCTCATACTGGGGAAATTCACAACCTGACAAGACTGGATGTGGGAGTAGAGATGTGGGAGTAGAGATGTGGGAGGGGGGGGGGGGAGTGAACGTATGAATGGAAAGTACAGCAACGGGAGTCGAATGAGCATGAGTCAGGCCGGGTCAGACGGGACAGATTATACGCTGTGTCATTGTTGAGACGAGCGATTCATCAGCAGCAGTGACAGCTGGAGCAGTGCAGAGGCTTGACACTCAGTTTCAACACTAAACCTCCGTTAAACTAAACTCCTCGTGGTCGTCTTATCGGTGAAGTCGAACAACGGAAACGTGGCTCAGGCTATCACGCAGCCAGACGCCGGTGTGTTAAAACAATAGGAAACAGATCGTGACATGAGACTAATGAAGAGCTGTTCACGGCACGAGCGGGGAGACCTTATCCGCTGGTGTGTCGGCACTCGAGGCCGAAAGTCATCTGGCACGCTTCAAAACCCCCCCCCCCCCGAGCAGCATCAAACACACGGTCCAGACAGACCGAGAGAGGCTGGGACAACTCATGGATCCTGAGCAACATGACTTTCTTATACGACTCATAACTGACAGCAGCTGGCCATTGAGAGTTGATTGTTTGAGCAAACCAATATGTCTGTGCGGTTTTTTAAAATCTATTTTTCCAGATTACAACGACTCGTTTTGGGTGACCGCCATGTCTGCTGGCGACTTGCTTGGGAAAGTCAGGTTTCTTTTTTCTGCTGCATTAATCACAATGCTTCATGATGGACTTTGCAGCCATAGGCTCTCTGTTTGATGTGGAATGCACAATAAAAATCATTTGGACACCATCAAATCAAACACATGGAGAAAACACACGACCTCATCAAACAAACAACTATTCTTTTTGCAATGGGGCGATGTTGGAGGAACAGTAAGAGTGTGTTTTGTGAGTATGTAACTTGAGTGAACAGAGGTCAGCAAACAGCAAGCTTAAATGTTTTACGCCTTGATGTTCTAACCCCCAACTCGTCAAATACTGACGCTCAGTCGGTGGCCCAAAGCCTCAAACTATGACACTCCATGTGCCGTTGTAGCGTCGGTTTTGTGTCGGTTCCCACAAGTTACATGCATAGTGTCTTTTTTAAATAAACTTCTCTGTGTTTACAGGAAATGTATAGTTTTCACTTATTTAAAAAAAAATAAACTACTAACCTAAGTTTACTAAGCTTTTAGTGCTTGGTTAGGTTCAGGCAACAAAAGTTCCTGGTAAGGCTTCGGAAAAGGTTTAAATAAGTATGTTTGTTCCATTAAAATTAGTCTGTTGGTTACATGACTGGTTACATACTAAAACAAAGGTAAAATGTGTCACCAACCACTGACTTGGTTTCACACCAGACACGAACAGCAATCTCCTGAGTGAAAGTCCTGTGATTGTCCTACGCTGACATTCTAACTCTTTTCAGCTGATTGTGTAATAATGACACAGATGGGTTTACATTGGAGTTAGTTGAAAGGTTGAAAGTCCGGTGCGTTTCTCACAAACACTGAAGGGTGCCTCGGTGTCAGACGCTACTGAACAAGCCTCTGTATCCGACGAGTTGGGAGTGAGAGCGGGTTGTTTCCGCTGGGTGGCCTGAATCTGTCCAGTTCTTAAGAAGTAAATATGTCCTTTTTCTGTGCTGCGACATATGTGTACAAAAAATGCAAAAATAGAGTTGTAATTCAGGATTTCAAGTCTTATGAGTTTGTTTTTAATTAAATGTCTCCAGTAGTTTTCCGTTCTGGTTATGGCAAAAAGGTCTGCCAGGCCCTCTTTGCAGAATGTAAAACCATCTGCTCAGTAGGAGTTAAGGAATGGAAATTGTGCATTTGTTTGGGCACAATGTAACAGAGGAGGGCACAGGACTCATCAGCTTGTGCTCCTCTGAGGGTTGACTGAGCATAAACTAGGAGGCACAAACCCTACCCAACAAGCACAACAATAAAACCCCTTATTAATCAACCTTAATAATCTACCATTATGTATAATTACTGAGTAAACTCATTTAGAGACAGACGGTAATGTTTATTAAATCCCCTCTCTATTTCTCTGGAATGTGCTGAACATGGTGCGAGACCTAAACAGCAGAGTGTTCTCTCCAGTGGGGGAGTTGGGACTTTGTTGAGTCACAGAAGGCATTTTTGGACCGAAATAACTTTTCAGTTCCAAGAACTAAGTTCTAAGAACCCCCATTTTTATTTTGTCAACACTGCAAGAACTAGGACTGATCCTAGTTCTTAAAACGCTGTTTTATAAAAACTTTATTAGCTCCAATTTCAGAGAAGCTACAAGAGGAACCATTAGTGCCGCAAGTGTTTATAAAAACCTTTTAGCCGTATAAACAACAGACATGTAAGGAAAAATAAATGGAAGAAAATGCGGATAGATTCCCCGTCAGTGAAGTCAAGAAGTTAACTCATTGATGAGCAAACGCCCACTGAGCCAAAGAATGAGTGTGTGCCGCTGCTCAGCGAGCTAACCCAGGAGCACCAAGGCTAACCCAGTAGCACCAAGGCTAATCCAGTAGCACAAAGGCTAACTCGGTAGCACAAACCCAGTAGCACAAAGGCTAACTCAGTAGCACAAACCCAGTAGAACAAAGCTAACCCAGTAGAACAAACCCAAGAGCACAAAGGCTAACCCAGGTGCACAAACAAAGGCTAATCCAGTAGTACAAAGCTAACCCAGTCGCACAAAGCTAACCCAGTAGCACAAAGGCTAACCCAGTAGCACAAAGCTAACTCAGTAGCACAAACCCACTAGCACAAAGGCTAACCCAGTAGCACACAGGCTAACCCAGTAGCATAAAGCTAACCCACTGAACCGAAGAAGCCGATTCAAACTGAAATCACAGCAGTTACTTTCATGGCGGCTATTTTGCCTATATGATTGTGGCATGTAACAGTGGCTGTTTATTTATTCCTATATTACCAGATATGAATATTACTAAAATCTAAGGGTCACATAGATACAGGTGCAGATGCAGGTGTGGCTGCTATTGGCGGTGGGAATGCAAACAGAAAAAAGGTTTGTAGTTCATGGGGGAGCTCCCCGGTGGCCGGTTTTTCTTAAGGAGTTCCCAGAACATTTTGATCCGAAAAAAACACTTCAACAGTCCAGCAGGCATAGAAGGAACTCTACCATCAACAGTCTCATTTGCAGGGGAAGCAGGGTGTGTGTTAGAATAGCAGTACACTCCTGCGAGCGAAGGTACAACTTTTCTTGGCAGACAGTAGCCAACACCACCCATTTCCTTCTGAACACAATGCTGTTATAAAACACAACTATTCGGAACATGCGTGCCAAATAGGCTCCAGTGAGCGCCACCTCGCCTCTTCATCCAGCCAGCCAAGACGGTGACTAAACATACCACAATTAACCAGCCTGCCACCAGCTAAAGACAATGGATGCTAGATGATGCCTGAGATAATAACAGGAGGATGCAGAAGAAGAAGAGCATTTCCACGGGACAGGATAAACCAGGGTTTGCCGTGGCTACCATAGGGCCACGCTCTCCTCATCTGACCCCGTTTTTATTTGCTGCTGTTGATGGAAACATTTTTATGAAGCCAGGCTCAGTTTCACCGCAAAACCCAAAACGAGCGGAGGCCAGAGCGCAGAGCGAATGAAAGGAGGAAGGTTCAATCCTTGACAGGACGTAGGAGCGACGAGCTCTATAAACACACCCGCCAATCAACGATCAATATGGATTATAAAGACGGGGTAGACTTACTCCCAAGTTTACTCTGTGTCCATTTTTAGGGTTACGGACCACAGAAGTCAACCAAAGTGCAACTGGACAAGAAGAGCGGCATCAAGGCTGTTTTTATCCCTAATTACAAACTACAATAGAGGTCAACTGAAACCATCCACACTGTTGGTTTTATTATCTCCCACACATTCTGACTCAAACCAACAATGAATGAAGATCGACGAGGCTCAGTGAAAAGTCTAAAAGCACAACCTCACTAAAGCTGCAAGTTTATTTATTCCCACCACAGCCGGCCTTATTACAGTAATTTTCCATTATACCACATAGTGCCCTTATTTACCTGCCCTCCAGGTATGCAATGGTACCAATACTGGTAGCACTGAATGCATCATTTACCTGCCCAACAAGAACAACTTCACATGCAAAAAAAGGTGCCAGACTCCACCCGATTTTCTCAGATTTGTAGCACACAAATAAATAAAAAAATAACGATAAGGTGTTAAGGGGATGAAACGATCAACATGTAATCTGCAACCTGTTGGTGTTGCCAATAAAAATAAATAAGTGATAAAAAATAAATAAATAAACATCAACAGCAGGTGAAGAGGTTAAGTAGCTCCCAGACTCCTGGTGGCAGGAAGGATGAAACAACAATACAAGTCGTTTTCTTGTTTCTGCCTCTTTGGATTAAATCCAATAAATAAACAAAGTCTTAAAGTGTACAACATGGCTGACGTAAACTACAGGCCGACGATACACGTGAAGATTCTAACATAGCAGTGTTTTAGTTAGACCGGCTCTCAGAGGTTCAGCAGTTTGAATTCTTGCTGTTTGTTAGTAATTGGCCTTTTTACTTTATAACCGATGGCTGAAAATGTAGATCGTATGGACCCAGTACAGACGTGAAATGTTGCCCCCTATTTGTTTGGAGCATGTGGACATATCTTACACATCAACATTAATGCTGCACATGAATATGTGTTTGATTATTATGTTAGCCATGCTAGAAGCATCTAGAGATGGCGGTATCACGACAACTTTTAGATGGGTTTCTATAGAATTCTACGCTGACATTCATGGTCCCAAGAGGATGAATCTTACAGACTTAAGTGATCCTCTGACTTTACCTTTAGAGCCACCAGCAAGTCGACATTTTTGGCTTTTCGTGAAATATCTCAGCAGCTTTGGGATAAATTGGCTGAAAGTTTGGTTCAGACATTCATGTCACACTCAGGGTGAACGATCATCACTTCAGTGATTCCTTGACTTTTCATCTAGCACCATCATTATGTTAAAAATACCTGCCAAACGAATGATGAACCAGCCTCAGCTGTAGGAGTGTATCTACTCTCAGCTGCATCTTTTCCAGATGTGAAATAAACCCACTGAACACCACCTGCCTGTATTTATTAACCATCTGGTGAACATAATGGAACATATAGCAAGCTGAAGACCCAGTTTTATTTATGGAGTTAATTAAGACCAAAGCAGGGCTAAACAGGAGAGTTGGACTCTCATCCAAGTCCAAATGAATGCTAGTTTTATTCTAAATGTGCAGAATGTGTAAACTGTTTGATTACACATTAGCCATATTAACTTTATACATCCTTAATATGTCAAACATTTGTGTGCTGCTCAGCTTGTTGTGGAGTTTTTGCCTCCAAGTGTCCAAGAAAAACTAACTAGTACTGCTTCATTCTAATTCTACGTTGATAGCAAACGGTAGTAAAAAGTACCGTACTGCAGTAAAACGTTTAATATTTAGTGTTGATCTGTTCAGTAAAATACAGTTATAATGCTGTGAGCTGTTTGAGCTTCCTGGCACTACATGATTTTACATGACAGTGACACTAACTACAGGATGTTTATGGTCTTTATGAAATATTAGCTCAAGATTTAGTTTAAGTGTTCTTCTACTTTCTTATGAATGCACGAAACCACAAAGGTCTTGATTAAAGATGATGGATGCAGGGATCCTGCTCCATAAAGCAGCAGATAGCAAACATGATGGTGATGGAGCTCCGTTAATCGGGGGCACAGGATCAGGATCACGGGGTCAGAGTTCACTGGAATGTTCCGGACAGCAGACAGCTGCGGACGACAGCCGAAGAAGCTCCGACCAGAAACAACGAGGAACGCTTTCCTCCAAAGCAAAGGCTAAAGTGTCCTTCATGTTGTCCATCAACAGACATCGTGATGCTTCACAGAGCAGACCTCAGTGTCAACGTGATGAGCAGCCGGCAAGCGGTTCATCACGGGAATTCATATGAAATGTGAAATTCATATTGTGGTTGGTAGGAATTTATTGGTGTGTGTGAGAGAGAGAGAGAGAGAGAGAGAGAGAGACTAAAACAGAAATAGTGACAGATTTATGCAGCAGCTGAGCTACAAATACACACACCTCAGCACTCATGGGGATGCCGCCCCCCCCCCCCCCCCCCCCCCCCCCCCCCCCCCCACACACACACACACACACACACAAACAGTTAAATTTAATTCAGTTTTGTCGGAGGTCTGAGAGAAATCAGTAGAGTAAAAAGAGGTGGTGCTAACAGGACTTTCTTCACAATGAACAATACAACTCATTCATTCTTTCAGTCTATCAGCTGTTGTTTCATTGAACAACATCACATTTTAAAACATAAAAGTTAGAAAAGTTCTCCTAAAAGACGTCAAACCCTCAACGAGATGACGACCACACATGACTCATTCAGAGTGTTCGCTCAGTGTTCTCATCCCTCTTATAACAATCTGCATGTTTCAGACTCTGAAGACAAAGTAAAAAAATATTTACTGCGTTAAGCTCGACGTGTTCCAGCACGCGACATTAACCATGTAAGATAGTTCAGAACTGTTACCTGAGCTGTCGCTGCTGCTGCTCCCGCTCGGTTAAACCAAAGCCACTCGATGAACGTAAAAGTTTGCACAGCGAGCTCCTCGTCCTGACAGCGTAACACACACTGAGCCTCTGACACACTCGCACCAGGACGGCCTCGCTGAGTCACACGGTCAGACGTGCACACAATGCTGAGGGAGGGAGCAGCCTCCGACTGACAGACTCCACACAGACAAAATACATTTCAAGACGCAATTAAAAGACAAAAAAACTGTTTCAGTGCTACCCACACTGAGTTCATTCATATAGTCAAACTGTGGTTTTCTTTACAACAAGGATAAATCAAACTCACTTCTACTCTAAACCCCTCACAGGACAAAAGGTAAACATCCTCTACTGTGATGCATTCTGTGGGCTACAAACGTCTTCTTCTTTTAACAAGCAAAGTCATGGAGTTTCCTGCTTGTTTCTTTTGTGGGAATCTGTCTCCCAAACAAAAAAAACAACAAATCTTGCTTTTTTTCCTGCTCTTATGTAAGTCCAGGCCACAGTCTGCTGATCACCAAAAGCCCTGCAGAGAACCTCTGGGGTCCAGCCAAACCACCCCCCTCACCATGGAACCCTCCGGGCCTCTGATCGGGGGCTGCAGGACGAGGGGGATCGTGACAATAAAATATGACGGTGCTCCGCCAAATACACCGGCCCATTACTTAATAGATCCCCACATGCCAGAACTAAGCAGCCCACTTAAAAAGGCCAGTTAGGCCTGAACAGAAATAGCTCGGGTTAGTCGGGATCTAAATAGACCACTTTGAGTTGGTAGCACCTGGCAAGTACGAGACAAATGGCCGTGGCTACTGTGACCGGTCATGCTTTGTGCACACACGCACACATACATACACGCACACACACGCACGCACACACACGCACGCACGCACGCACGCACACACACACACACACACACACCGAGACCATTTAATAATCCCAAACACACCAAAGGCTGAATCTTATGGAGGACTGAAGCAGCCATTATAGTTAATAAATGAGTCAATAAATAGAAAAATACATAGATCATGGTTTATTTGAAAATATATAAATATGCACAATTAAAGTTATTTGTTGAACTCACTAAGTAAATAAAGGGGAAATTGGAAAATAATCAAATATGAAAGTAAATAAATATGAAAGTAAATACATTGTGAAATAAATAAATTCATGGTTTTTCTATTTCTTTGCATATTAATTTATTTTCAAATGATTTTGCACATTTATTGATAATTCAAAGCTTTTATTTCTGAATTTCTTTATTTTATTTCTTTATTATATTTTAAAATACTTTATTGCAACGTTTCATCAGTTTTCATTAAACATTTTAATACTTTTTATATAAGTAAAATGAATAAATAAACATTATTTAATATAATGGCAGCTTTAGTCCTCCATAGACTTCCCTGAGGTCAGCAAATATAAATCTGGTGTTTGAGGTTTGCTTTAGAGCCAGAGTGTTGGTGTCTGATGCTCGGTGCTCAGCAGAATGAGAGGGTGTGGTGTGTTTCTCTCTCTGCAGGAGCTCCACTCAGGCTTCAACACACACACACACCACACACACACACACACACACACACACACACACTCTAGTGATATTTTTGGTCGCTGTCGATGAAGAAGCCTGGGAGTGTACTGCTGGGGGGACATAGCAGATGGGATTATTTGTGGTGCTGCTTGTTACTAGGCCTACTCTTCTGTACAACACATTGAGAAGAAAACACACAGACACACACACACACACACACACACACCTAACGACGTCACACTGTAATCATGCGCCTCTTTTATTCCAAATTCTTCCAGTTTGTAGCGATAACGACATGAGACGCACCTAAGTGGCTATAAAACCCGGGTTAATAAGAGGAAGGGCTTTTTACAGTCTCTGGATGTTCCTGTTAATTACTGAACGACTTTAGACTTGCTGATTTGTCTCCTGGAGGCAGAAGAAGAGAGAGAGAGAGTCAATTAAAATAAATAAATACGTAGTGTGCAGATGGGAGCAGCTTTACAAAATATGACGCAACAGGAATAAAGTGATTTCTCCCTCCGAGCAACATCCTGGGTTTATTAAAGAACATGCAGAAAGGTGCTCAGGGGCCCACGGACTCCAAACAACATTACGTTGTTTAAAAAAAGGTCTTTCTAGGGTCAGCAGACATCACAACAAAACGGGGGGGCAGCGTGCAGTCATGACAACCTCTGCTCTCTCTCTCTATCTCTCTCTCCCTCTCTCTCTGTCTCTCTCCCTCTTTCTGTCTCCCTCTCTCTCTCTCTCTCTCTCTCTCTCTCTCTCTCTCTCTCTCTCTCCCCAAGGAGACCAACATGACACAAACCTAAACAGAGCTGATGTCCTCTGGTGACTTCGTACTGTGATCACAATATGTCGTCCTCCCAACTGTCAAATACATGCAGCATGAGAACCAACCAGAGCCCAGAATCAAACACATCAGCCACATAAAAATAAATGAGCCCGCATATTTTATACAGGCCCCCGCTGACAGGAAGTGGACTCTCTATTGTTGACATCAACAGTGAGGTTTACTTTTGTTTTTGGGCATTTTTTCGTGAACTATTTGGAAAAGAATAGCTGTGGTTATACAATATGTTCCTCAAACACCCACACTGCAGTAGGGCTCTCCATGTGTACTCACGTACACCAAACAAGGACGCTTACGTACGATCGCGTGCTTCAAATATCATCAATTTACAAATTTTTGTAACTTCTTCCACGACCACAATCATCGATCTTCCTGCCGCTGAGTGATTACAGCTGGAGACAAACCCACGGAACCGTCTGCGCCGCCGCTAATTGAAGGTATGTATCATAACTTTCTGGGAACGACAATTAGACAATTAGAGTTAATGCAACAGCTGAACCACACGGAGCAGATGTGTGGTCACACCGTTACGCTCTGAGTCACTACTGCAGGGGGCCCAAACCTCTTGGCCGTGGACCGGTACCGGGCCGCAAAGCATTAGCTACCAGGCCACTAGGAAACAGCACATGAATAAGTAATAACAATATAACATTATAGATACATATCCATCTTTTGGATAGTTGCTCTCTGTCCTCGGTCCAGACGAGTACCCCAAAAAACAAATGTGCATGATCCACCAGCCACAAACATGCAAACACACAAGCGTACAAAAACATGGGCTTCCATGAAGGCCGGACCAGCTCTCCTGGTGTGTGGGTGAGCCGTGCCGTGCACCTCAATGTCTCTGAATATTTGTGTCAGTTCTAGAGTCTGATAGTCTGTGAGCAACACATCGATAAGATACTTCACAAACGTTAGTGAACTCAGTAACACCCTGTGGATCTGCTGTGTAGAAATGACTGTGACACTACTGCCAACGAAACACTTCTGGAGCAGATAAACGGCAATCGAGCTGCTGTAGTCAGGGATTGAACTCTGCGACCTCTCCTCCACACTCTCAATTTATGGACTTAGATCTGAACTCTCATCCGACACACATGAGCCAGACATGACCCCCCCCCCGTACCCGTATGAAAACAAATCCTGCAGACCCCCCACTCTCAACTGTCTCTCCCCATGATATCAGGAGAAGTGAACTGAAAAGAGGGGTTTGAAAACGCAGGGATATTTAATTCAAGTGATATGCAAAAGACAAACAACGAGGAACAAAGAGTTTCTATGTAAGACAGTTTAACATTCACACAGCTGTTATCCTGTCACATGTACATGGGAAGGAAGACTTGAGCTTGTTTTTTTACGAGTCCCATTTGACTCCTCGCCTGCTCGTAAAACAAGCATCCCTGCACAGCCAGAGTGCACAACACATGTACGCGCATTTTACAGTTTTAAGCACCAAGAGAGTCAACGCAGACGCTCAAACACATTCAACAACACGCACTAAATTCCACCACTTCGGTGTTGTCAAAGATACGTAATTGAATCGGGCCCGACATCAAACGCAGCTCTTCTGGCAGCCGCGCAGGAATCCAACGAATCCAGGAAGAAGAAAAAAAATAACAGCCTAAAATATCTCATCAAAAGGCAGATTACTGTAAGCTCAGTCTAATGGCCATGCCTTATCAAGCATGATGAAGAGCCAGGCGAGTCATTAAACAGGTGAACGGAGGAATGTAACCCGCTGCTTACTGTTCACAGCCCAGCTGTGGCGCAGACCCCGGGGCCCACATGACTCAAAAACTACAAAACCTTAACTGAGAACAGAGAGAACGAGGTGGTTACACTGGTCTGTTCAATGCGACTTTTGTGTTGGGATGCCCCAGATCAGGAAACCCGCTGTGTCAGCACATGTGTGTCCACACTTGACACGTCAATGCAGCCTGCCTGATCGGATATATATTTTATTACGGTCAAAGGAGCGGCTGTAAAACGGTGGATAATAATAGTCCCCTGTTACCTTTGACTTGTTTTTATTGAAGAATAGCCGCTAACAATGCCATGCTAATTAATCGATAAACACATTTTCCTATAAATTCTTTACAATACAAGTTATTATTTAAAAGCTTTTCATTTTGAAGCAGAAACATCTATAAATGTGTTTTCATCAGCAGCATAGACTGTATATAAGAAGTGACGAGCAGTTCTCTTGAATACCGATGTTGAATACACTTATTGTAAATCGCTTTGGATGAAAGCATCTGCTCAATGATGTAATGTGGACGTAGTCGTGGTGACGTCACTCTTTGGTTTGTGGACTGATGTTTTGAAGCCTCAAACTTGGTGTTTTGGCCGTCACCATATTGACTTCTTTTGCAACCGATGAACAGGAAGTGACCATATCTGGACTGAGGAGGAGTGACGTAGAGACGGCGTATACGTCTCTGGTAGAGACCTGTCAATCACCGTGTAGCCCCGCCCTAAAGACTCCCCTGCTTTATGGTCTGTTTGACTCTAAATGGACCATAATGTACTAAATGAACATCATGCTGTATTGAAGAAGACTTGAAACTAGAGATTGAGACCATAAACTCATGTTTACAATGTTTACTGAGGTAATAAATCAAGAGAGAAGTAGAGTCATTTTCTCATAGACTTCTATACAACCAGAGGAGTCGCCCCCTGGTGGACAGGAGAGAGAATGCAGGTGGTAAAGTAATAAAGCCCGCCTTTTCAC